TTCTGTAAATAAGGTACCACATATGGAGTTGACACAACATCTTTCTGAAATAGCGAGCGTATACAACAGTTACGGTTTGAGGAGAAGCAGATTTGACCAATTTCAAGTTTGGTTGGATCAAAGGGTAATAATGTTGCATTCTGTCCTGCTGTACTTATATGTAAAATAACTTCTCCAGTAGGGATTGCTTTTGTTACAATATCAAATTCGTTAATAGGGATCATAATGTTATAATGTATGACAAATTCTTGATATGACATTAATGATCCATCAGGTTTGAGCAACTGATGAACTAAAACTATGTTGTGAATAAACCATTTAGGGTAAAATACGGATTTGTTTTATGCAAGATGTCTCTATTGTTCCAAATATAATACATGTACATAGCTGCTGTAAGTTAAAACTGCTTCAGTAATTTTTTTATGACGTCACTTTGAAAAGCCGCGCGCAGAAGCGTCTCTGACCGCAGACGGTAACAGAAACATGGGATTACCCACGCATTCACATATCATTAGTCCAATGGGCACAACTTTCCCCACACCTTTTCTGTCACAAAAATACCTTGGGTTTGCAGATGCACGCGTAACTTACGTATCAAATCGCTGATACCACCTTTCAACAAGTTGAAGCTAGAGTACCGTTTGGCAGGGGGGGCATTTTCCAGCACAACACCTGCCAGTTCACGCCATTCACAGTAAGTACAGTATTTTCAGATCAGGACGTATTTAGTGTGCACTTTTCATATTATGACGGCTATAACTTTACAAACTGTCGCTGTGTTAACAAGCACTTTTAGAGTTACATGTACTTTTGCTAATATTACCGTATTGTTTCATATAAATGCAGCGTGTCACAAGTTTTGTGTCGGGAAATTGGTGGGAGTGTCCGTCCTGTCCAGGAACAGGGACGTCCTCCTTTATTATTTAAAGCACATGGACGAACTCTTCAGTTAGAGATGAGAGAAGGAGGAAACACCATCTGTTAAATAAACGACAGGCGTTTTTATATAATCTGAAGGTAGGAGACATCTGACTCAATATTACCACGTATGGCAAATTATGATAAAACACCTGTTTACAGCAGTTTAGTTTGGAGGGATTTTGACCAACTTTTTTTGTATTTTACTTTGTAAAAACACATTCTGTCTTTAATTTACCATTAACAATTTGATGTCAAGTGATGTAAAGTAGGTCTTAGTTAATTTTGTATAGAAACGTTTGTTTTTAATCTGGTTAAAATGAATGCTTCGAAGTCATTTTAATTTAATTTATGCCAAATTGAACCAAAAGAGCTCACCATATTCACATAGCTGCTTTTCAGAGCTGCATGAAAACATTACATGCAGTTTTACTTAATGAAACCAACATTTAGAGATGATTTGTACAAGCAGGCATTGGATGTTGTGTTTATAAGGAAGCCTGTTCAAGATAAAATATCATGAAGGTATGGATCCAAAGTAATCCAACGGTGAACTTCATCAAATTATTAACGACAATGTTTGAGTTTTAGGTTCTCATCATGAATTCAAGAAAAACCTAATATTTAATCTGGAATTTCAACATCTGCCAAACTTCCTTTGTCTCGTTTTGTTTAGGTCTCAATGGACTGGGCTCTTATTATTATTGTGCAAGTTCTTTTTCAACCATCTCTGTCAGGTGGGTTGTAAATTTACAGACCAGGACAATATCTACTTAAAACATTTCTATTTCATTTCACACAAACTGACCTACAACTGCAAAGTGAAGTCAGCTAATGAGTGCAACTTGAAATTATATTTGTCTTTAGTACGTTGTTGTGCAAAGGTACATCATGAGATTTTATGTATTTTCTCCCTACAGTCTTTTTTACTGTGGAAGCAGAGCACAGTAAATACACATCAGAGTATGGAGGAAATGTTGTGATGGGCTGCAAGTTTTACCCCAAACCCTCACATCCTCAGAATGACCTGAAGGTGACCTGGCACTGGACGGCTGCATCTCCGTATCAGGAAGTCATCCGGATAGATAAAGCAGTGGAGCATTCCACGTCTCAGAAGTATCAGAGCCGAGTGAAGCTTCTTACTGATGAGCTGAAGGATGGCTGGGCAAAGATACAGGTATTGTTGCTTGCATCGTACATTACGTAACATTTGAGGAACAACTGATGAGTCTATCATTTCCCATAAAAAGACGGGTTAAGCTAGTTTGAAGTTTCCAACTTCTTTTCATCAGCAAGGACGGATTACTGATATGACGTAAAAGCTTCCCTGCAGGTGTAATAAAGTGTAGGATAAGAGCATGCTGCTGCAACATGATTTATATACGTATAAAAGCAGAGTATGCGTTTCAAAAGAACAGCATCTGGAAGAGAAACCTCATTAATTGTAAATATACTGCGCTTGATGGAAGCTTGATACATGTATTGATATTAAAACTATCAAAACAAGTCGGAACATGCTGCTGCAGAGCAACATTTTGTAAAGAGGATGAAAAAAAATGTTTGTTCTTTTCTCCCATGACAGTTGTCCAATTTGAAGATCAGTGATTCTGGGACCTACCAGTGTTTGGTGCAAACTGCAGAAGGGACTGACTATAAGACCATAACCTTGTCAGTTACAGGTGAGAATTAAATGTGCGACAGTCCAACGGGGTTTTTGTTGAATACTTTTAGTTTCATTCTGGGATGGTCTTGCTCAACATCCACTGCACTTGGTAATTTCTGGGCAGTTAAGAGTTATTTATCCAGAAAATGGAACTAAGACCGTTATTACTCAAGTTGACAAAGAAAAAAAAACTAATTTAAATTTATTTCATTAAAGGCCTACAGTTTTCCAAAATCGTATTTTTTTATTCATTCAACCTTTATTTATACAGGTTAGTTCCCACTGAGCCTCGAGGACTCATTTACAAGAGAGACCTGTTTCAGACAGACACGAGTAGATAAGGAAAAGAGAAACACCAGGGGAGGTAAATAAAAAAATTGTATCTCGCACTGTGTCCTGGCTGGATCACAGTGTGAAAGTTGAAAGAAAAAAAAAAGACCTCGCACATAAACAGCAACATACTAATGACATCATAATACATTTATGCATGAGGAGGCTGACAAAGGCGGTGAGTTGTCCGTGGACACTGCCAGATAGTTCCGTAGTCCTGATAAGAGATGGCACAGTGTCTATCAGCCGGCTCAACTCTGATACAGGTCCACAGGCGTCCTCGGAGAGCAGAGCAGAGCTTCTTGTTCACATAACCTCCAGAAGAAATTTGAGATAGTTTGACCTATTTAAAGTCAAGTGGGGAAGCCACATTCAGATAACATTTGTTTTGGCCGACTCTGCTTGATGTTTTTGTCTGCCTTCATAGTTCTGCTGGTACATCTCAAATGGTGACTCCAAACAGCCAAATTTTGTGTTCACTCCGCTGGGCCGTGCTTGTAGCCTTCTCCAAGGTTGATTCCTTCACGCCAGCGAGTTCCAGGAGCCGCAAGTGGCCTGCGATTCTCAGAAATCGCGTCCAGATTACTGCTCAGCTCACAAAGCATCTGAGTCGGAGTGCTCGAAGCACGGCACATTTCTTCACACGCAAGCAGCCTCACCGCTGCCGACGTCTTCCAAATTTATTGATTATATCTTGTAAAAAATCCTGTGAAATGTAAATGACATTATGCGCTATCGCATGTGATATTGTGCGATATTGTAAGATGTGTTAGAGCTCGGAGTATATATTGAGGATGACTTTCAGCTACTACTACCTAAACTAACTATTTTGCAAAATTTACAGAGTTATAGTCATTTTTGTATTGGTTAACACAATTAGCTGGGGTGGCTAAATTGAATTTACTAACTTGGTGGTGGCTAACTTGAACTTAGTTAGCACTTGGAGCATGTGTTGGGTAGCTACCATCACATTAAATGGTTAGTTAAGTCATTTTTGTTTGTGTTGTGTTTAAGGTCGCTTAGCTGTGGTGGCCATCTTGAACATAACAAAACCTTCATCCTTCAATCCTCTACTTATCTAGTTTCTAATCTGAGTTTGTACCCTCTCCTAGCACCATACAAATTCATCTCCAAGCACATTGAGAAGACAGCGGAGGGGGATAAGGTGCTGCTGACCTGCCAGTCGGAGGGATACCCTCAGTCTGCTGTCGAATGGCAAGATGGACGCTTGCAGAGGCACAGTCCCAACACCACAACTACAACAACACCAGAGCATCTTGTTAAAATCACCAGTCAGATACAAGTCAGCTCTTCAGAGGAAAACAATTACACTTGTAGCTTCACAAATGATGCCCTCTC